TAGGGGCTCCTGGCCCTACCACTGGGAGCAAAGGACGCTACTAGGGGCTCCTGGCCCTACTACTGGGAGCAAAGGACGCTACTAGGGGCTCCCAGCCTTACTATTAGGAACAACAAGGCTTGACCACATTTGGAGATAAAGCAAAACCCTTGCCACCAAGCAACCCAAAAGTGATGTCACAGCAGTGCCAGGCTCCTGTGCCGGCAAGAGCGGTGCAAACATATGCACACTTTACATGTGCATATGCAAATAAAGAACTCTTACACCAGTAAAAGCATACACACACACACACACATGCATGGGACTGCTCTTGTCGCTGAGACAGACAGGAACATGTCCCTGAAGAGGTGAACATGGGTGGAGCCATGCCAAAAACATCTCTCGTAGTTCTATACATAATGCAAAAGATATGGTTCAAGAATTCGTTTAAGGGAAACCTACAGGAAAACCATAGTTTTGGGGATGAAAGCCGGGGTTTCCTGCAGATTTTCTCCTGATATACTGTAATATATATATATATGATCATATAATCATATACGTTTCCGTTTCTCTTATCAGCCATGCGGTCATGAGCAAAAAAGGTCAAGCATGTAGTAAAATTCGACAAGCAACATAAAGCAAAATGTACCTTTCGAAGATCAGGCCGAACTTGCCAGGGGCTCATCAGGCCAACCCCCAACTTCACGGCGTTCGGACAATGACAACACCATCAACAGTCCTGGGCCAGCGAAGGTGTTGGCACACTTAAGGCAGCTGTCTCTTCTCCAGGGGCAGGCCGTCGGAGGGGCTGGCAGACAGGCTGAGTGAATACGTCAGTGCAAACACAATGTTTCTTTGGGGAACTCATGAATGGCCTACTTTGCAAGCAGAAAACTTGAAAGACTAGCTGAAACAATTGAGCATCAACCACCTGCCGACCAGCTTGCCTTCGACCCTGGAGTCGGCAAGCTGGCTCGCCGCAAGATCCTGTAACATGCTCAACAACAAGGTATCACGCCCCTGCACAGCTGTGTTTGGGACATGTTTTGTTAAGCAAACTCTGTGCTATTGTTCGTTTCAAAACAACAATCAAATATTTTTACCATGAGTTTCAAGAGAGGAAATCACTTTATGTCCAAAGCGTGTGTGCATTGGGCATCATCTTCCAACATCTCAGCACACTAACACTTATAGGTGCACATTCCGAATCGCAAGGGAATTCCGGTCCAAGCCCACAAAGGAACTGTGAACAAGTACGAAGAGGAAAAAGATTGCCCTGACCGAGCTAATCACAATGTTGTTAGTTATTTGAAGTGAAAATGGTTGAACACGTAACGGTGCTAACTTTCATGCTTAGTGCAACCACATTGGACAAACGGTTCGCGTTTTGGAAAAATGCACGGCTTAGTTACTAGTATCACTTTCCCCCAGTGGCCCTGCAGAAATTTGAGCAACAAAACTCTGCAAATACCACCCTGAATTGCGAGCAATTGCTCAAAAACGACAAGAAAGTACGCCGGTGACGACTGCATCACACCCGCGCCATACTCCGGCTGGGCTGATTTGTTGGACTTCTTCAAGTTGCCTTCCTTGTGTTTTTGCGCGCCGGCTTTTCAAACCAGAATGCAGAAACCAGAATTGCTCAGACCCAACTCCCTTCATGGTCCAAACTCCCTCCGCCCCCGTGATCCGCAGCACCCGTTGGATCTGCTTGACTCAATGCTAGCTGGCCTCAAGGAGTCGCAGGTTGACAGAACAATTCAGGATGGTGATCCGTCTGCACCGGAAATAACGTCGAGGAGACTTGTGGAGACAACCCCCTCTCAAAAAATCAGATCCCATGCCGCATGTTCGCCATAGTCAGGCCACCGAAATTTATCATCAGGGCATCTCAGGGCATTCTCTATGGTGCCCAAGATGCTCTGCTCAAACCGGACCAACCCTCCAGTAACCCATGATGATTCCAGGCGCCCAGCTTCAAAGGCAGAGATGTGCTTGGGGCCTCAGGGCTGTGATGCACACCGTTTCTCTTCTGCAAGTAACTGATTGTTCCCACCCGACAGGACTTGGGGTAGCTAGAGTTTGGACCAAACAACCCGCCTTATCGAGACCTCTGCTGCTGCAAAGCATCAGGCAGTGCATGGCCAGTCCGAAGAACAACTACACAACAAACAACAAACTATAACGCTGACAACGCGAAATCAGAACGCCAAACATACACAGGCAACACAAACGCGACGAGAGACAAGAAACAATGACACAAACAAATACAAACAACACACAATGACCACACCAAACACAAACACCAAACAACCCGCCAGGCAATGTAGTTCCTGAACGAACACGCTGTGGACTCCACACAGTGCTGACTGAGAATCGATTTGCTTGGTCAATTTCACTGAGGTTTCCAACTTGTGCCAGAGTTGGGTCAGGTCAAGCCGGATCAATGTCCATCCATGTGCCCGATACGACAGCACACAACAAACATACAACGACGAAGTAAGATGTTTTTCCGCTGATCAGTTGAAATCACCAGAGTGCTGAAAATGCTGGTCTGCATCTCAGAAGCTGATCCTTAAATTGGCAATGTGAAAAGGATTATCGATGGGTTATCGACAAATAATCACCGTAATTACCGTACCCGATTTCCAGCCAAGCTCTGGACAGAGAGCCTCCTCGAAGTGAAGCTCCCACGTTTGACGACACTGGCGCCTTCCATAAAAGGTCACTAAAACGCACTAATTGCTAGCGCGCTGCTAGGGGCTCCTGGCATCGCTAATGGGAGCAAGGACGCTACTAGGGGCTCCTGGCCTTACTACTAGGAATTAAAAGGACGCTACTAGGAGCAAAGGGCATCGCTACTGGGAACAAGCAGCTACTAGGGGCTCCTGGCATTTCACATGTTAGCCCTCCAGGAAAGTGTCACCAAGTGTCAACACATCTTCCACACCTGTTGCGGCAGACGGGTTGTCAAAACCAGCCTCCCAACAGACAGGCGCCCACGGCAAGGCAAGGCATTGTGCAAAATCCGCTCAGGGGGCATTTTGTGGGGCATGATTCAATATGATTCAACATGGTGCTCAAACCTTTGACAGCAGGGCGTTTTTCGGGTCAACAACAAAAACCAGGGCGGCTCATGCCCGCGTCTAACCCAACGGTGGCCTGAGGCGCATTGGCTACATCCAATCGCCTCTTCACAACTTGACAGTTGAACAACAATTGTTCCACAAATACTGCAAAAAATGCTCTTGAGAACACATGTCAGATCCATGAGGATGCGCATGCAACAGTTGGAAAATCCTCGCTCGCCCGCCAGCCTTCCAGATTGCCAGCCCGGCGCACGCAAACGCGACTCTGCTGAACCTTGGCCTGCAGATCCTGGTGCGAAGTTGTTGGCCAACAAAGCACTAAGTATGCAGGTTCCTGCATTATGTGCATGGGGGGGTGGTTGGCGCCTCGCGGACTCCGTCGCACAAACAAGCCTCGCCAAAATGCAAATTTTCACAATGACGTGTTCTTTGATTTGTATACAAACCGTGACGCACCCTACCTGGAGCCGCCGCCATGCGCTAGCACATTTCATTGGCCATGAGCTACGGATGTGAGTTGTTTATGCATCAACGCCGTCGTG